ACCCCTCTTCGACGTTCCCAAAAAAGGAAAAGGACCGGAACAAGGGTCCTAACACTGAGCACGCGAGATGGCTGAGAATATTCTTGTGATGTCGAAACGAGGGCGGACTTTCTCATCTGAGACGAAGTTGGCGTGCTTCACTCCAAGGATGCACGTCAGGCATTGGTGGTCAATCATTTCCAGTTCTCCATCTTCCGCACACACAGCGCAGCATTCACAACCATACGGAAGGACAGACCGGATGGATGCACGGTACACGCGAAGCTTCGTGGCGAGGGCAATATCGCGTCGAATCCATGGACACTATAGGTCTTGAGTATACCCGACGAACGGCATCGAATTAGGAGCCAATGTCATCCCTACTCTGTCCATTTTACCGCACCCTCATTCTAAGGTATTTGAGTTTGTCTACTTCAAATTACAGCTATCAACCTCGTGAAGTGACTTCTGGTGAAGCATGCAGCTTGGAAACACTGGTGTTCGTGGATGAAACGACTGACTTAACGACTTCTTTCACGCGTGACAGCATAGACTGCAGAATAAAACTTGAGGCTAGTAAGGTGATATCATCGACGTAGTCGAGATCACTCAACCGGCGTTCGGGTGCAAACTCAACACCGTCATCTTCGTGTAAGGCCTTCCCGACCATCCAGTTTAACAGCATGTATGACAGCATACAGCCTTGTCGAAGGCCAAACTGAATACCGAACCGTTGGCAAGGATTTTTCTGGACCAGAATTCGCGCAGCAGTGGAACGACAATATGCCTTGATCACGACGATGATTTTTGGTGGTACACCATTTAGTGCCATTATCCGCCACAAGGATTCATGACTGACCGAACCCTGGTCTTTTACGAGCCTTATAAGCGGCCTGGGTTCACCCTAAGAGGATACTGTGTAGATTTACCTCTACAGCGATAAACGCGCTTGCCTTATGTCCCCTACACCAGTTTTAGATATAAAAATGATACATTTTTCAGTTTGTGGACGATCAACAGAGAAGAATCTCGCTGTTACGTTGCGAACCGCCCTCAGACCTTTCATGCGGTGTTGGGTACTTCTAAGTAATTATTAGTATGGCGCTGAATTTTCAAACACAATCGCCTTGTTTTCTTGAAGATTCCAACTGCATGCCGATGGTGCCCAACAACACAGCAACCCCCCGCCAACACTAGCTGCATGCCTTTTACCCCTTTTGGAAGATGCTCCTATTTTTGGAGTTCTAGATTGAGCGCCACCTACTCCTGGTACTTACGTCTGTTTTCATGGAAATATAAGAATTTCACTGTCAAGGGTGTGCTGTTTCTTCAATCCTAACTACTTTAAACCTAGTTGTCAGGACTGGGATTACCTGCATCGTCGGCGTTAACTTTGGTTGTTAATACAGCATCTACTTGGCGGTTAATTATGT